TGTGTGTGTGTGTGTGTGTGTGTGTGTGTGTGTGTGTGTGTGTGTGTTTTGGTCTTACATAACATGTAATCTAAATGGGAAAAAAAAAATCTTTCAACTATGTTTCTCTGTTCCCCCCAGGATTACAGCAATGACCAGGACAAGCACACACACACACACACACACACACACACACACACACACACACACACTTTTGCTCCAAAATAATACAGTTATGAGAAGAGAGACAGCGTGTAGTTTGCATCCAAGGTTTATTGTGAACTGAAAATTAAACTGCAGTAAATAAAAGAACAATTTTTTAAGTACAAATAGTGCCGGACGCTTGAGTTGTGTGAATGTTGGAGGGAAAATGGAAAGAGAGAAAGAGACATAGAGACTTCGTTGATAGGTGTGTGTGTGTGTGTGATTGTGTTTTGCGACCGTACCTGTACGGCGAATATCCCACACACTCCGATGATGCAGAGGATGTTGAAGACAGCCGAGCCCACGATGGTGCCGACCCCGACGTCACCTTTTGTGATGAAAACTCCTGAACAGCAGAGAACAAAAACACAGATTACCAAACAGGACGAAAGATATCTGTCTGATCTAAACAGTGTTTTCTCTTGTAATCTAAGAACAAGTTCCAGGATGTTCTCTCTAAGTTCCTGACACTCTTTGTATGTCTGTGAAACAGCTGGGCAAAAAAAGATTTGCAAAGTGAAAAAAACAAAACAGCCAGGATATTTATTTTTATGACAGATTTTTCTTCTAATCTGTGAAAAAAGGGTTTTGAGGTGGGTGAAGTGTTTGTTGTTGTAATGCTCTTTGTGAGTTTGTAGTGCACCACTACTCGAGCTTCTTCACGCTTTCTTCCAATGGGTTTGTGCTAACTCACATTATCTTAGTATTGTTTTCTTTCTCACTTGCCCCTCAGACCTTCTGTCCTTTGTTCACATAAATCTTTTGTTTTTGGTGATGTTGACATGGTTCTGTGTTGTGATTGTATTTTTATAAGCCCTGTAAATGGTTACTTAATAATAACTGTGTGGGTGGGTGTGTGTGTGGGTGGGTGTGTGGGTGTGTGTTCTCACCAATGACAGAGGTGAACAGTTCAGGAGCTGAACTGCCCGCTGCCATGAAGGTTGCTCCTGCGACATCCTCACTCAGTTGAAGACGCTGGTTGAGAGAGTATGAGAGAGAAAGAAAGAAAGAAAGAACGAAAGAAAGAAGCAAATAAAGGAAAGAAAGTAAAAGAAAGATTGGTAAAGAAAGAAAGAAAAAAACATTCTTCACGGCAAAATACAGTGGAAGTGCAGTAATAACTGAGGCCATTTCTTACCTCACAAATCTTCTCCAGACAGGGAACGAAATAGTCGTCGCACACCAAGGCCAGGGCATAGAACATGTAGACCGCCTGCAGATGCCAAAAACACACACTGGTGAGGCACAATACACAAGCTCCTTTTTTCTCTGTTTGCAGTGGAATCACAGACTCATCCTTCACCTGTAGTGGAAAAACTTAGCCCTGATACAAACCAAGTCAATACTATAATGCTCCCATACATTATGAGCACTTTTCTCTTTGCAGTTGGCCTCCCAGAAGGAGCCGTATTCAAAGAAGAGGTGGCCTCGGAGACCGTACGGTAGCATATTTAGCTACTTTACTTTCCTCTACTAAAGCAACAAGTGGAAAAAATGTACAATAGAAGAAATGCATCAGCTCTTCAAGCAACCATCTGTACACTTAACAGCAAACCCAACTTTCCAGTTTAGACTCAATGCCACCGCTGTATTCCAATGTAAGGCTGTAGAAGAATGAGGAAGGAGCAGTGGTGGCCTAGACAGAATCTCAAAGGTATAGCTATTTTATAATTTAATAATTCTTCATAAATACACTACATGTATTCTAAATATTTTTCCCATTAGCTTATTATCTCATTGCATAGCTACTGTCTTCCTCAGCTTGTTTTAAGTAGAGCTTTTATCCAATCAGATTTCACCCCTATGCTGTCTCTAGGTAAAGTGCTGTCTAACTTCACAACAGGAATGAGAAGCTCCACCTGCATCCTGGATCCCATCCCATCTAATCTGGTCAAGGACTGTCTCCCAGCCATCTCACCACTCATCACAGTCATCATTAACTCCTCCCACAGCTCCGGATCAGTCCCTGACACACTTAAACTGGCTGCTGTCACCCCCATCCTCAAAAAACCTGGACTTGACCCTGACACCATGAGTATTTTTCCAATCTTCCCTTTCTGTCAAAAATACTGGAACGCGTTGTCGCTGCACAACTCAAAGCCCACCTCATCTCCAACGATCTGTTCGAGCCATTTCAATCCAGTTTGCCGTTCACAGCACAGCACTGAAACAGCCCTCCTCAAAGTCACCAACGACCTCCTCCTCTCCTCCATGTGACTCCTAAGATCCTCCTAAGGCCATTACCACTGCTACTCACTCCACTCTCACCAACTGCCTCACTGACATTAAATCATGGATGCAAACCAACTTCCTCAAACTGAACTGTGATAAATCTGACATGATCATCATCGGTCCCAAATCCCTCACTAAAACCAGTCACAACTTCTGCCTCACCATCGACAACTCCACTCTGTCTCCCTCCCCACACATCCGCAACCTCGGAGTCATGTTCGACAGCAACCTCTCCTTTGAACACCACGTCAAACAAATCACCAGAACTGCCTTTTTCCACTTAAAAAACATAGCCCGTCTCCGCCCATCACTCTCCTCATCAGCTGCTGAAACTCTGATCCACGCCTTCATCACCTCCAGAATTGACTACTGCAACAGCATTCTTCACGGCACATCATCCAAAATCCTAAATAAACTCCAGTACATCCAGAACTCTGCTGCTCGCCTGCTCACCCACACCCGCTCCCGTGACCACATCACCCCTGTTCTCCAGAACCTCCACTGGCTCCCCATCCCACAACGGATCCAATACAAAATCCTTCTCCTCACTCATAAAGGCCTCCACAATCAGGCCCCCTCCTACCTCACCGACCTGCTTCACCACCACACTCCATCCCGTCGACTCCGCTCCTCTGATGACTCCTCTCTCTTCCACTCAGGACCAAGCACCGGACATGGGGTGACAGAGCCTTCTCCATATCTGCCCCCTCCCTCTGGAACTCTCTCCCCAAACACATCCGAGACTGCACTGACCTCTCCATGTTCAGATCACAAATCAAAACCCACCTTTTCAGACCTGCTTTTAATGTGTGACCATTATTGTGTGTTTTATGTTTTTAGTGTATTGCTTTTATATATAATGATTTTAATGTAAAGTGTCTTTGAGTATTCTGAAAAGCGCTCTATAAATAAAATGTATTATTATTATTATTATTAAAGAAAATCTGCCCAAGGACTGCAGAATTACAAGTGAAACCCTTTGCAGTTTAAGTCAGGGGTCAGCAAACCGTGGCTCCGGAGCTGCATGCGACTCTTCAGCCCCTGTGTTGGGGCTCCCTGAGGCTACATCCACACGAATACGTTTTCATTTTAAAAAGGAGTTTTAACAAAAAATAACGGTCTCCGTCCACACGGGCGTTTCAGCATCATTTTCAAGATGATCCAGTCCAGGCTAAAACCCCTGAAAACGAATATGACGTGACTATTCACTTACACTGGGCATGCGGGTGGGTGCCGGTGTAAACAGGAAGTTGCTTAGTTAAAAAAATACGACAGAGTAATAAAGTAGTCTTTAATAATGAAAGGTCGTGTTTGATACTTAACAACTGAGATAGACAAATTTCGTGGAAAGTTTTTGAAGTTTTATTGTTCAGACTTAGTTACAGCGCTGCAGGTCTTGCTCTATCTCTCTCTCACACATCAAATTCACTTTAAAATGAACACTTTCACATAAAGGTTTACTAGATTATGATCCATAAATGTGGTCAACACACGTCTCTCACTTGTTTCCTCAGTTTCATTGTTTCTGTTCTCACTCGTAGCTCTGCTGGTGTCTGAAGTCTGTCTACTGGAGAGCAATCCATGTTTTGTTCCTTTATAGTTTATGTGTGGACTTCACAATAGTTAAGAAATAATAAGAATAAACAATAATAAGAAAAGGAAAGTCCTCCGTTGTGTGTCCGTCCTCCTCAAAGCCGCTAACAGTGACTTCAGACGGCCGCTCCGTAGGTCTGATAACGCCGCTGGTCACACCTCTCACTAATCGCTCCAATAACAGCTGCTTCCTCCGTAATAATGCAGACTTTAACTGGACAACAGGTGCTAGTAAAGACAACAAGGTCAGCAACACCTGTAATCAGTTCTCCATGTTGAATTAACCTGGTAGTCGATCGGTGATCAATGTTGTTGTTTGTGATCTTACGGGAAAGGGTCACGTGATATTAGTGTGACGAATGACGTGATCGTTTCCAAATATATGCCTTTACGAGCGTCCACACGACAAAGCAACCCGGAGTTTTCAAACGTATCCGTCCTCGGGAGCGTTTTCAAACTTATCCGTTTTCGGTGCTTTGAAAACTCCGGCGTAGTGTGGACGCTCAGTGTAAACATAGCTAAACATGCATTTTCAAATGGAAACGTAGTAGTGGGGACATGGCCTCAGGCTTTGACAAAAAAATAACACGGAAATAAATGACGGTTATTTTTATTGTATTTTTTGCACAGTGGATAATCTTTCAAAGGAACAGCTCTTAACTTGGAGTTTGAGGTGATACTGTCACTGAAAATAGCAATAAAATGTAAAGAATTGTCTTTATTCTTGTTCTATAATTTCATAAATACAACAAACTATAGTTTTTGTGTATATAACGGGCGACTGCGGCTAAGTGGATAGCAGGGCCATCTTTCAATCAGAGGGTCGGTGGTTCAATCCTTGGCTCCGGCTCTGCTAGTCGCATGTTGATGTGTCCTTGAGCAAGACACTTACCCCAAAATTGCTCCCGTAGTTGTGCCTACGGTATAGAAATGTGATAGAATCTGAATTGTAAGTCGCTTTGGATAAAAGTGTCTGCTAAATGACTGTAATGTAATATAACTATATAAAACTTTATAAGCTGTGATATCAAATAGCTTTTGCGGCTCCAGACACATTTTATTTGGTGGAAAATAGGGCAAAATGTCTCTTTGGATAGTAAAGATTGCCAACCCCTGGTTTAAGTAAATGGGGACGATATTGTTGATTGTCATCGTCTTCAACCAATCAGATCTTTAGTTTGACATGTTGGGCGAATTCTTTGACGTGGCAGAGCCTGCCAGCTGGCCTACAATTACGTCATCATTAACGTGCGGCTTGATTGGTCAGTGGGCTAGCATGACATGTTGTGAAACTAGCTAGCAGAACTTTGTATTAGTAAGAGGTTTTTATACTTAGCTTTGTTTTTTAACACTCAATGGTTGAAGGAGGAGGAGAAACTGATTTGGTGGCGGATTTACTGGCAACGGCTTTCTTGAAAAGGACATTTCAGGAAAAACTGGACATCGTAAGAAAGGGTTGGCCAACCCGACAGCTAGCAGCCCTGACTCAGCATGGAAAAGGATTTGTGCACCACTTTCAGTCTGGCAACTACGAACGGTATTCCTGGCTGACAGCGTTGGAGAAGCGTTGCACATTTTATGGCTAAGAATGCGTTTTACTTGCGACTGAGCGTCTTGGTGTTTGGAGCTATACTGGATTTGCTAACCTGAGGTGGCTAACCAAGGCAGCAACACGACACCATAACACAACAGCACACTTACAAGCTACGGTGCTTTTGAAAACTTTTGCTGGGACCCGAGTGGATCTACAAATCAACGAACTGAACGAACTGTACAACCGCATCATTAAACTCTTTGTAATCAAAGAAAGGAGGATGGACTTTGTCTTGAAGTGAACAGCAGCTTTGGTAAGTGAACTGCTTTTGTGTTTTACATCTGCAGTAGCGTTACTACTGTGTTCATTTGTCTATGGTGTCGTTTTTATGATATGGTTAATATTGTTCCCTCTGATGTGAATAATATTTGAATGGCTCGTGCTCTTCAGTGTGCGGATGAATACGTGTTTTAGGGTCGCAGTGTTGCTGGATTGATTTGTTGCTTTGTTGTCATAAATATATGTGACTGGTTCTTGTGAGTTTGTTATTGTTATTGTGTTAATTACATTGATTTTGACTATATGCATTGTCCGTTAATGACACAGCATTCGTATTCATGTATCTGCACTCTGCAGTTAGTGTTTTTGTAGGTGTTGAGCTTCATGTAACATTTTATTTCACTTGTCAAATGTTGCAGTGTTATGTGAATATGCGGCTTTTACACGAAACAAATAATAACCGTAGCTGTGGCGTCATAATGAGGTTATTAGGAGGTGGTTCAACTGTAGTAGGACAGCACTGAAGGCCCAGGTATACAATGCGCGGCCTGCCACTGGGAAGTAGCCTTGAGCTACATTGCTGTTTCATTTAGATGAACAGCCACCTAATAATGTTCCCCGCTTATAGTCTGACTTCAGACAAGGAACTGAAGCTCTTATCTGTGCTTTCCTCAGAGTCACCAGACTCTTTTGACAAAAAAGAAAGCAGCTGATGGAGGCAGCAGTAGACCTGCAGCTCTGCATGTCTGGTGGTTTGGAGAGAACCTAGATGAATATAACTGCTTCAGTTCCCCATTGTAAAGTTAAAGAGAATATTCTAAATATAGCATACACTTTAAGTTTTTTACCTCGGGTTTCACATGTTAACCAGTTTCACCGTGTGACTCTTTAGACAGTCTGTCAGTGTGTCCTCACATCACAGATAAGCATTACACCACCCTGGCTGTGTGTGTGTGTGTGTGTGTGTGTGTGTGCTAGTTAGTATTAGACACAGGTCTAAATTTATAATTTCCCCAGTTTAATACATATTTGTATTTGTGTTATTTTTGTGATCTCCTCTGGGTTGCTCTGTTGATACAAAACGTTTAAATGACTCCATAAGTTCATGTCATACTCCCCACTCATTTCTTTTCTTGTTCACCCATTTTAAATTCTTCCCCTTTGCTGTTTCTTAAATTGCCAAGAAATATCTTATTCAGCATTCGGTTGTACTTAGCTCTGCCCTCTCATGTCACTTCGACGTGTCACTTCGACGGACAAAATGATGAACTCAAGGCCTCAAAATTGCAAATTGAAGTGCTGCGTTATCAAGAGCCGCCCATCGCTGTGTGACTCCAGGAAACAAAGAAGAGTTTGGCTGTGACGTTAGTATATCCAGCAGCAAAAAAACTGCAGTCAATGTAAAGGCCCGCTGTGTACCAAGGCTCGACTCTGCTGAGCCACGAGGCTCCGCCCCCCACGGCTGCACTGAGCTATCTCTTGTTTCTTCAAACTTTATTCATGTGGAACTGTCCAAACTACACAAAGCCTTGTGTGGAAGTTTGTCTTGAATACTTTCTATTTTCGGGAAGAGATCCTTTTAAATGTTTTCTTTGTGTTTAATATCGTTTTAGTTGTATGGTTTATTTTGTTTGTTTCGTTGGTTACAAGTCCAGTCAATGGTTTCAATTTGAGAGCAATTTCTTTGAGTGTATCCCAAACCAATCAGTACCTGTTTAACAATCCTTTATGGCTGAAAGAGTCAACAGCTTTTCCATTCAGTGTTGTTTTTTTTCTCATCCATCCAAAGATGCACTTCATGGTTCCCTCTGTAGATCAGCCATGACTAGACACCTTTTCAACAAGCTCAATAAGAGGGTGTGATGTCGTGACCGTGGCTCACTGGGTCAATGGTTTGATCCTTGACTGGGACATGTCACGTGTCGAAGTGTCCCTGAGCAAGACTCTGAACCCCTAACAGCTCCCCAGGCGCCTGTCATTGGCAGCCCACTGCTCCCTATATACAGGGATGGGTCAAATGCAGAAACAAATTTCCCCATCCGGAATCAATATAGTATTTAAAATTAAAAAGATTTAGGAAGGTAAAATTAATTTCATGTAGCTGAGGTTTGTAGCTTTTTACTTTCTGTTGTTTTTCCCCAAAGTGTCAGTTTGTTGCTGGAGGAGCTGATGACATCACAGAACAGAACAGGAAGTTGAGCTCTCTGTTAGGAAAGGAAGCCCAGAGAGGGAAGGGAAAAAGAAAATGTGCTGATCCATTTTCTACGTCGGATCTAAACTATATTCTCTCCTAAGAACAGGAGCTTTCTAACTTCTAACTTTCTAAATTCCTTAATTGTGTTTTTTTCATCTGTGAAACAGGTGGAAAAAAGATATGCCAGGTTAAAAAAAAAGCTTTGTCAAGATCCTTTTGTAAGTGTTGCTGTAATACTCACTTTGGCAACAAGAGGCTGCCCCATGTTCTAGAGCTAAAAGCACTCCTGTTTTCTTCCAGGTGGGTTTTTATTGACCTGTGTACTCCAAATACAAAGTACATCATGTGTTAGCGAGTTATGTAAACTCAAACTCAATCTGGAAGGAAATGTGAATGCTTTTAGTCCTATTTAGAACTTGGGGAAGTGGTGCACTTCAGCCTCTTGTGGCTGAAATGAGTATTACAGCAACAAAATGATACCAACTAAAAGGGGGGAAAGCAACTGCAAAAACCCTTTTTCTGAAGAATGTTTTTTTTAATAGCCTGGATAAAATCCCTTTTTTTTAAAAGAAATCTGGCAAAACTTTTTATTCCACCAGTTCTTAAGTCACAGGGGAGAAGAGAAAACAATCTACATCAAACTAAACTAAACCGATCACCAAATTGTTTTTTTTCTCACTTGCCTTTCAGGGCATTCGTAGTTACAACTGGACTAAATTGAGCTGAAACGGTTTTAGTTTAGTCGTCTTCAGGGGTTCTACAGAATATAATTCTTGGCTTCTACATTATTAGATAGACACATGGCAGCACTGATGAAGCCCTGACGGAAGATATCTGCAGTATCATAGTCAAACGTTTAGCATTGTTAATCACTTTTTGAACCGTATCGATAAAAGGCAAATGAAAGAAAGCTGCAGCGGCTCTTTAACCCGGCTGCAGGAAACACTCACACAGAGCACGTGGAGGCCCACTGCTCCATCAGCACGCTCCTGGGGGGTGAAGTAATCTCTGGGGAACTCGTGGATTGCTGCAGAGGAAAAAAACACACACACATGCTTAAACACTGAAAGGAGAAGAATATGAAAAATTATACATCAACTGCAGGTGTGAAAGGAAGATATCCTGAGGGACTCATGGAATGTCTCATTAGCCAAACAAAAAAACATATAAAATCTGTATAATATACAATGAAAAAATGCAAAAAGTAGTGGCACTACGGTGAATTCAAATGAAGCCAATAGTTGAAATTCAAAGATGCACACAAGAAAGAAAATGTTTTCATGTTTTCCAAGAACTGTTTATGTCTGTTAGTGATGTCGGAACTCTAATTGGCAATTATGAATAAACAGCCCACAGGAAAGAAAAAACATAAATGAGAAGCCAATGTCCCAAAATATACAAAACTTTTGTCTGCTTTCCATTAAAAAAATAACATATACATTTATATCGATTGATAAAGTTTCAAGACCTCAAACTCATCTGTCTCTGGGATGGTACAATCACACCGACCATTTTCACTTTTGTCTTCCTAATTCTCTCTTTTTTTTCCGTCAGGTTCCCTCGGGTTCTAAGTTGGATTCACAAGACTCGCTTAACTGCAAACAACATATAATTATATCGACTACCATGTGTTTGCATCCTATTTCTGTCCGTTCTTCTCCCTGGTGGTCACGTAGACATTGGGGCACTCCCAGGTGCCGTGACCCCACTAACCTCATCTATCCTACTCTCTCAGCTCATGGCGGGCAAGTGGTGGCAGGGGGGCTCTGGAATTGCCAGTCGGCAGTGCCGAAAGCTGAGTTCATCTCAGGCTACGCTTCCTTGATCTCCCTCAACTTTCTTGCTCTAACTGAGACCTGGATCACATCAGAAAACACCACCGCAGCTCTGTCAGATGTGTACTCTTTCTCTCACGCTCCTAGAGCTGCGAGGCGAAGTGGTGGTACTGGCCTGCTACTCTCCCCAAAAGGGAAATACTCTCTTGTCTCTGTTCCACAGTTCTCCCCGTCCTCTTTCATGCTGTGACTGTCACTTATCCGGTCAAGCTCACCATTGCTGTTGTGTATCGCCCACCAGGCCCTCTTGGTGAGTTCCTGGAAGAGCTTGACTCATTAGTCTCGCACTTCCATGACGATGGCTCCGTACTCATCCTGCTCAGTTAGAACCTCTTCTTTCCTTCCTCTCCTCCTTTGACCTTTACCACTCCTCTTCTCCTCCTACCCACAAGGCCGGCAACCAGCTGGATCATATCTTCACTAGACACTGTTCTACTGCTAACCTCTCCGTCACTCCCCTCCAGCTCTCTGACCACTATTTCATGTCCTACTCCCTCTCCTCTCCCCCCGTACTTCCTCCACCTACCCACATGGTTTCCACCCATAGTCATCTCCGTTCCCTCTCCCCCGCTGATCTTTCCTCTTCTGTTACCTCTGCCCTCCTTGACCCTGAATCCTCTCTCCTATCCCCTGATACTGCTACTGATCTTCTCCTCTCCACCCTTTCCTCTTCTTTGGACAACCTCTGTCCCTTCACCTGCACGGGCAACTCCACCTGCCCCATGGCTGTCGGACTCAGTGCGTACTGACAGACAGAGCCTAAGAGAGGCTGAGCGTAAATGGAGAAAATGCAAACTCCCGGAGGACCTTAACTTAACTTATCTTAACTTCCAATCACTTCTTTCCACTTTCTCCTCCTCTCTTTCTACTGCTAAAGCTGCTTTCTTTGGCTCTAAAATCCTAACCTCTGCTTCCAATCCTAAAAAACTCTTCGAAACTTTCTCTTCACTCCTCCAACCCCCACCCCCTCCTCCTACTTCTCTCAGCCCCCCTCTCCTTCTCTACCCTCTCCAGCTCTTCCCCCACAGCTCTCCCTCCACTCCCTTTCTTTTTTCTTTTTCCTTTTCTCTTTCTTCTTGCTTCTTTATAAAAAGGACCACACCAGTGGTGTATATCTTAGCCAATCTATGTCGGTATAAAGTCAACTTTTCATCACAACACTGCCTTTTGTACCCCAAGTTGTTCACTATGCCCCACCTTACCCTATCTTGCTCCCCTCTCCCCTAACGAGGTCCTCAACCTTGTTACATCTAACCGCCCCAACACATGCTCCCTTGACCCGATGCCCTCCCCTCTTCTTCAGTCTATTGCGACAGAACACCTTCCTTTCCTCAACCAGCTCGTCAACACATCTCTTGTTTCAGGATGCTTTCCCACGGCTTCCCATGGCTTCTGAAGAAATCATCACTTGTCACGAACATCAGACCGGTTTCTCTTCTACCCTTTCATTCCAAAACACTTGAACGCGCTGTCTTTAATCAACTGTCTTCCTATCTCCACCAGAACAGCCTCTTGGACCCCCACCAGTCCGGGTTCAAAGTGAGTCACTGGACTGAGACAGCCCTCCTTGCGGTGACAGAGTCGCTTCACGCTGCGAGAGCTAACTCTCTCTCCTCTGTCCTGATTCTCCTGGACCTGTCTGCGGCGTTTGACACGGTGAACCACCAGATCCTCCTCTCCACCCTCGAGGGGATGGGCGTCTCAGGCTCTGAACTCTCCCTGTTTGCATCCTACCTGACAGGTCGATCCTACCAGGTGACATGGAGGGGGGCTGTGTCGGAACCACGCATGCTGACTACGGGGGTTCCACAAGGTTCAGTTCTGGGCCCCCTTCTCTTCTCCCTCTACACAACATCTCTGGGTTCTGTTATTCGCTCGCATGACTTCTTTTACCATTGTTATGCCGATGATACCCAGCTGGTCTTGTCATTTACCCCCGGTGACACTCAAGTGGAGGCACGCATTGTTGCGTGCTTGGCTGACATCTCAAAGTGAATGGCGACACACCACCTGAAGCCCGCACCGAGACCTGTCCATCACCATTGATGATACCGTGGTGATGCCAACTCGGACTGGGAGGAATCTGGGTGTGACCCTGGATGACCAACTGTCATTCTCAGCAAACATTGCATCGGTTACACGCTCCTGCAGATTCCTGCTCTACAACATCAGGAGGATTCGCCCCTTCCTCACTGACGAGACGGCGCAGGTGCTGATCCAGGCTCTTGTCATCTCCCGCCTGGACTACTGCAACTCTCTACTTGCCGGAGCCCCGGCGTCGGCCATCACACCTCTGGAGCTTGTCCAGAAAGCTGCAGCTAGTCCGTTGTTTAATCGCCCACACAACTTCCCTTCTCCGTTCTCTACACTGGCTCCCTGTAAGAGCTCGCATCCAGTTTAAGACTGTGGTGCTAGCCTACAGGGGAGTGAAAGGAACAGCTCCTTCCTATCTCCAGGCCATGGTCAAGCCCTACACCCCCGCCCAACCACTTCGCTCTGCTGCCTCGGGGTGATTGGTTGCCCCGTCGCTCAGAGGTCCCTGCGGCCGATCGACCCGGTCACGGCTTTTTTCTGTCCTGGCCCCACAGTGGTGGAATGAACTCCCCACTCACGGGGCAGATACACGCATTATGTTTCACTCCTTGGCGGTGGACTGGACTCTCTGAGTGGCCTTCTTTAGATATTTAAGTTGATTTTGTAACATATTCAAACTTTAAATCTCAAGATTGAAATTAAATGAAAAAATGTCTTTTTTAGGTCATATTGTGCATGTATGCAAAAAAATGACAAAAAAATCAGTCTTTGTATTCTGATATCAAAATCTAATAATCTTGTCTCTCTGTAAAAGAAATATGATGTGTGCATCAATTAATGTGTGTGTGTGTGTGTGTGTGTGTGTGTGTGTGTGTGTGTGTGTGCGGAGCCACTGAAGCTATGTTCTAATGAGGTAACTCCTGGGAGGGTAGTGGTAGATGGCATTGCTGTCAAAGGTTACACCCAGAGTTCCCGTCGCTCCTTCGCTCTGAAGAAAGATCTCATCCCATCACCATAACAGCATATTGTCATGCGCGTTCTTCCCTCTAGAGGGAGTTGTCCGTCTGTCTGATTCCATGTGAACGCAACATAAACCCACCCACTTTTTAAGGGGTCCAATCAAATTTGGAGGATTGGATTTAAATCCCTCTTGGGAAACTTCTCACGGTACAGAAGCTTATGTCATTCTAATTTTCATTTCACTTGGACTTTAAGTCCAACTAATGTTTTCCCATGTGTGAAAAAACTAAAAAAAAAAAATCACTTTTAATATACAACCCATGAATCAAGTCTGGGACAACTCGTGAATTCTGCCTGTAATGAGAAAATTCTAAATAGGAGAAAGCTGGTAAATGGGTGTTTAAGAAAAACAAAAAACACTTGCATGTGCAATTAGGAACAAATCTGTTGAGATCGACTGATGTTTTCACCGCTATTTGAATCTCATCAAAGCAAAACACGTGCAATGACTTGGTGTCATTTGAGTCCACAATAAACCCAAAATAAAAAGATGAACCAAAAGGAAGTGGCCAAGAGTTTGAATCCCGACACGCTCAGTGTGAAGCGGTCCTGAGTGAGATCCCACTCAGAGTGACACCACCAATCAATCACTGTCCAACAGCGGCGGCCAATCACAACATGCCAAAATATCCCGCGCATTCATCCACAGCCATCATGTGCATTTCCTGTTGCATACGAGCGGCCGAGGCTAAAAATAGCCCAAATGTGACTGCGTGTGTGTATTTGGGATTTGCCTGGCTTTGCGCTGTGTGCACGCTTGTGTAACGCCGAGGCAACCCGATGTGCAGTGACATTCTCTCTCTCCCCAACCGCCCCGAGAGCTTGTGAGTCAGGCGGCTCCAGCTCCAGCCGGCCCCGCGTGGCCCCGAACACAAACACGGGCCTGTCTGCTCATAGGAAGTGACAGCAGCACACAGAGAGAGAGAGAGGGAGGGGAGGAAAGAGAAGAGAGTGGCAGGAAGGGAAACAAAAAAGAGAGACAACAGGACAATCTGACATGATGTGGATCCGTCACTAAAAAAAAGAAGAGCTTAACCAGAAAAGAAAATGAATAAAATAGACCTTTACCTCTTATTCTATGTTTCTTATGGTCAAACCAAGCTGCAACATCTTGTGCCTCAAATGACACCTTGAAGCTGGCTCCAAAAGCGAGTCAATTCCATAAACTGTATATAAGAAGTGGACGTA